CTCTGGCAGTAAACCCTTCCCTGCTCTGTAGGCAGCTAGCTGAGTTTGTGTTTATGGAACATGGTACAGAGGAGGGCCTGAATATTCATTGGAAGGACTGATGCTAAGGCTAAAGCTCCAATACTTTGGCCACCTGATGCAAAAAGCCAACTCATTGGAAAAGACCCTGATGGCTGGGAAAGATTGAGGGCAGGAAGAGAAGAGGACCACAGAAGATGAGATGGTTGGATGGCATCACCAACTCAATGGATATGAGTTTGAGCAAACTCTAGGAGACAGTGAAGGACAGGGAAACCTGGCGCACTGCAGTCCATGGGGTCACAAAGTGTCAGACACGACTGAGCAACTGAACAACGACAGAAAAGGGCCCCTGATAGAAGAAAAGGTCAGGAGAGGCTCCAGTGTAGGTCTTTGGGGAAGAAATTTCCAGGACGTTGGGTTTAATCAAGAAAATAACCCCACAGAGTCTCCAGTCAGGTGTGCCAATTCCATCACATCTTCACTCAGGACTGTTTTCAAAACACTGAACAATGAGCTCTTTGTTTGTGCTAAGTAAATACTGAAGGGGGTCAGCTTTACTGTCTCACGTTTTTATTATCTTCCATGAGAGAGAAACTCAAGGGCAAGTGGCTTGTCCCATGAACTCAACATGTGTGTGTTTTCAAATTCTCTCTTCTACCTTTCAGAGGTCATTTTCTCAGAGGCAGAAATTGTGGCTTATATAGATTTTTCTTTCATTCTGGGCCGGACCTATTGTGGATTGTTGATAAATATTATATATGCAGAGAATGATACTGCAAAATAAAGATGTAGTCTTGAGACTAAGAAATGCCCACTCAGGATCAAGGAGGTAAAAGCTTCACCTCCACACACCCTCTCACTGCCAGTCTGGGTCAAGAGAGGTGCATTGAATTGACCCTCTGCTGGGCCCCAACTTCGCCCACTGCCCTTGGTTGGGGAGTCTGCCATTGCACTCAACAAGCCCATCACTCTCGTGGGAATTCTTTATATTAGACCCATGTGATGGGAGTCTGCAAGCATCTAAGAGCAGAGGACAACAGAATTATCCAGAAGATTCCAAACATCAGCTCACATGCTTAGACTTACTCCCATAGAAGAACTCTCCAGTCTGAAGTTAAAAATAGTCACCCAAGTCATTGCTGGTCCAGCCAGTCATGCACACCCACAGTTGCCCCTACATGCTTTACTTTAGAATTTATACTCAACCCAGGGTCTGAAGTAGTAAGACAATGTTTACAAATGACATAAATTCTGCAGAAAAACAGGCAGCATCCCCAATAACCGTAGCATGCACGATCCTCCAGACAGGCCGTGAACAGAGGCCTTGCGGAAACAGTTCTTGAACACAGGTTCTTTACTAAAGGGACAAGGCAAACATTCTAAATGTGACTCATTTCTGCAAGAGTTTAGTATTCAAGGAGTCAATCGAAATAAATTCCCATTGCATAGGTGGAGAAACCTATGTAGGAAGCTTCCCATGAAGCCCAGGATTGCTAGCTCTCTAGGACCTCCTGGAAGGACATGTGGATCCACGTCGGTCTCCCCGTAGTTCTCAACCAGAATTACAGTGAAGTTCTCCATTTTAGGTCGATTTTTAGCCTGCCTACTTTATAGTTATCAAAGTACCATCAGTCAAAGAAAATATTTTTAACCCATTATATTTTAAATACTGAAATGAAGAATGCAAAATTTATAAACTTATCTTCTAGTACAAACATATGACAACACTTCATACAAGCAGCCACCAGCCTGGAAGCCTCACATCGGAACGTAAGGAAAACGCCGGCCTCCTGGTAACCTCTGAGTTTTCCTACTTTAAGAGACTCCAGCGGGAGTAGTGCCTTAATCTTAACCTCTCTTCTAAGACGAGGAAGAGATAATCTACTGAACTGGTCACTAGACCCAGGCCCAAGAGGGCTCTGGAGTCACGTTCCAGATTAGTTTCAGATTCTGAATCCTGGCCAGTAAAATGCTTAGGGAGCAGGAGGCAAGGAAGTGTATATTAAGCATTTGATGACTAACAAATTCAACGTATTTTTGGAAATGTTGGTTTTAACCTACTTAGCAAGCTGAAGTGTGGAGTCACAGCAAGCGTGGAGGCTCAACACCTGCCCTGAGAGTTCCCTCGCCACCGAGGGCTGCTGAAGGGGAGGGTGAAGGGCTCTGAGGCCACGGCTCAGACCTGTGAATTCCATCAGCTCTGCACATCTCGTTATGCGCTGACCGTTCAGCAGACCTTTCTCCCGGACTTCCTTGAGGTGTGGGGTCATGCAGCCGGTGTGGGCAGCTGAGGTGCACTTGAGTCATCTCTCTCCTAGACCCCAGAAGCCCCCCACCCCACCAGTCTCTTTGCAGACCTCCCCCGGAACCACTTCTTTCCAGCCTTGCTCTCAGCTCCACGTGCTATCTTATCCCAGTTCTTAGGGATATTCTTGGCCCCACGTCAGTGCTTGATGAGGGGAGGAGGAAGGGCTGCTTATTTCACTCTCTCTCTCTTCAGAGCGCTTCTATTTCTCTCCTCGCCTCTGTCCTCTGTCCCTCCCCTGCAAAACTCCAGTAGTGCAGGATACTGACCACGCCCCTCCCCGAAGCAGTCTGCCTCCTCATCCTCAGAACCTGTGAATGTGTCACCTCACAGGCAAAGGGGACTTACAGATGCGACTAAATAAATCCTGAGATGAGGAAAGGAGCCTGAACTATCCAGGTGGATTCACTGAGTGGATCCCAGTGTCATCACAGGCGTCCTTATATAAGGAAGTCAGGTGGATCAGAGTCATAGAAAGAGATGTGGTGATGGAAGGAGGAGGAGAGAGAGAGAAGGGAAAGAGGGGAAGGAGAGAAGAGAGAGAGATTCTAGGCTGCTGGCTTTGAAGATGGAGAAAGAGGCCACACGCCAAGGAAAGCAGAGGCCTCTGGAAGCTGGAGGCCGCAAGGAAAGAGACTCTCCCCAGAGCCAGAGGGAACCAGCCTCCGAACACCTTGACGTCAGTGAGACCTGTGTTGGACTTCGAATACTCGGAACTGGAAGGTAACGCACTTGGCATTGTTTTAAGCCACTGAGTTTGTGATCGCTTGTTACAGCAGCAGCAGGAATTGCATACAGCTCCCAAACACAAATGTGTTATATAAACGGCAAAGCAGGCAACATGGGAAAGGGCAGGGCGGTCTCCCAGGGCCTTTTCTCCTCCTCTTGCTCCTCACCTCTTCGAGCTGGTGTGGCTGCAGTCTCGGCCCTGGCCCTATGTCAGCATCTGTCTGCATCCACCTCATCTCTGACCCCAGACCCACTGCCCTGCAGGCAACGCCTCCCCACCCAGGCAAAACTTGCAGTAAAGGTCACACACAGACACCCTTACCTCTTCTCCTCTGGCCATGCTTCCCTCCGGGCACATCCTAGCTTACACACCTGAGATCACAGAGGGTCAGAGGCAACTCACGAACCTGACATAGATGCATCTGGCTCAACATCTAGGGGGGGAAAGTATGTTCATCAATGTAATTACTATGGAAAACATATATGAAGCATTATACCCAGGCGGGTGCTTTGGATGCAAACTTCCATGTTAGAGATTCTGCATGTCCCCAAAGACAAAGACTCAGATTCAGGGCTTAAGGAATGTGACCTTTAGAAAAAAAAACACCCGCACCTGCCTCTCGCCCCTGTCACAACAGGAATCAAGATAAATACCAGTTTCCAAATTTCCTCTTACAAAATAACTCTGGTATTACTTTCATGTCTTATTAAGCACCTCAGACGCTCTAAGAGAGGAACTCCTGCGCTGAGACCCGGGGCCACCCCCGAGGCTGTCCACAAGAAGTGTGCTCAGGAACACAACAGTGTGAGTGGGCGAAATAAGAGGTAGATGGTGGAACGGGCGGTGTTGACCACCCGCGGGGTGGAGTCGCACCACACTTCTGCATCAGTGTGCACACCTGTGCTGAAAACCTTGCAGAACAAATCACTAGAAGGACAAAAGTTTTGTAAGTTTCTCCTCTTAAAGACTTAGTTGAAAATACCTTGTGTCTCCTCAAAGGGTAGCTGGGCTTTGGTATTTCTCCTACAGAGCAAATCATGGGACAAATTGGGAGGGATTTGTTTTCTTACATAAAAAGGCAGGCAATGCCCTCCAGAATATCTTTTTGGGAACCTGAAGCCTCACAAAATGAGATGAGAAAGCTGCTCATTAGCTTCTCCAGTATCTTTCACATTTCAGATGCACCCAAATGAAACAAACCAGTCACAAAAGAGCAAATACTGAACGGTGCTTCTTATATGAGGTTTCTAGAGCAGTCAAACTCATGGAGACAGAAAGCAGAATGGTGGTTGCCAGTGGCTGGAGAGGAAGGAATGAGGGGGGTTTTATTTTAATTTTTTAAATGGATATGAAGTTTTAGTTCTGGAAGATGAAAAAAACCCTGGAAATGGTTATTGGTGATGATTGTATATCAGCGTAAACGTACTTAACGTCTCTGAGCCGCACTTAAAAATGCTTAAAATGGCAAATGTTATATTATTTATATTTTACCAGAAAACCTTCCCACTGTATAAACACACACCCACACACACTCACACCCCGCAACTCTACTGCGCGCTGTTTCCTCACACTGAACCACAGCCAGAACGCCTCAGCCGTGTCTTGTTTTGAATGAATCCTTTCACTGGCTGCAAAGCAGAAGGTAAAGAAACAGGCCTTTCCGGGAGCACCCAGCTCTTGCAGCAGCAGCCGTGAGGGCGGGGGCTCTCAGGATTGGCTGAGGGGCAGCCCCTCCCTAGAAAGTCAAAGTGAAAGGCGCTCAGTCTTGTCCGCCTCTTCCCCACCCCATGGACTAACAGTCCATGGAATTCTCCAGGCCAGAATACTGGAGTGGGTAGCCTTCCCCTTCTTCAGGGGATCTTCTCAACCCAGGGATGGAACCCAGGTCTCCCGCCCTGCGGGCGCGTTCTTGACCACTGGGCCGCAAGGGCAGCCCCTCCCTACCTCGTCTGAAAGTGACGCTCCAGGTCGCAGCGCTGGAGCACCTCGGTGCAGTGGTCCGAGAACGGGCAGGTCACCAGCAGCTTGTTGAGGAGCTTGTTGACCAGGATGTTGGACTTCTTGCAGTGCTGCAGAACCAGGGGCTTGCGATCCACGGGGCAGAAGTCCTTCTCCACCAGGAAGCTGGTGAGGCAGAGGGTGCAGTACGTGTGTCCACATGGAGTGTCCAGAGGGTCCAGAAGAGCTTGCAGGCAGATGTGGCAGATGAGGTCGTCGTCCACGTCTTCCGTGTAGGTGTAGAAGTGGTTTTCCTCGGGGCAGTGGGCTTCGCCACACACCACACACAGGGGTGCGGGGCTGGGGTCCGGGTCCTCAGCCGGGTCTGCCTGGTTCATGGTCAATGGGAGTGGGTGGAGCAGTAAGACAGGAAACCAACCCAGGAAAACAGTATTTCCTCCAGAGGAAGTCAAGAGCTTCTAGGAGCCATCCACAAACCTGAAAGAGACAGAGAACTGCTCATCTATCTTGGTTATGGACGTCGGCGGTGCTGCCAGAGGACAGAACTGAGCCGCGACTAGGAAGGCCTGGGCCGAGTGACCACCTGGTGACTGACTGACGTGGCCTGAAGCCTGGCTTCCTTATGCCTCAGCTTAACTGCCTATCTTAGCAGGAATAATACTTACCTCTAATGTCCTCATATTAGTGCAGTGAAAATTATTTCAGAGAAATCTGAGAATGTCCAGAAACAGGCCCTAACAAAACAGACGAGTGATTTGTGAAGTTCTCTGTCAGATCACGACAAGAAGAAAAAGTTAATGTGCTGATGGCTTTCTCTTATCTCTCTTCACTACCTTTCTCTAAAACCCAGAAAATAAAGGACACCTCATAGTCTTCAACTAAATCATCTGAGAAGAAATAAGAGCTGCTGAGGCAGTTGTATTTTTATGATGATGAAAGCATTGTTTTCTTCTGCGTGCATTTCATTTATTGAGTTACTTCGTGGTAAAGGTGTTTCCGGAGCCACGCTGCCTGGGCCAATCCTACCACCACTGCGCACCAATGATTTAAGTCCCTGTTTCCATGTCTGTAAAGTGGAGATAATACTGTAATGGCCTATCTCAGAGGGGTGTTGTGAGGAGTAAATGACATGTGAGGCATAAAACTCCTTAGAATTATGCCTGAAATACAGTAAGTGCCCAATAAGTATTAACTATTCTTACATATATTTGTTACTGAAGTCATTCTGTCTCCAGCTGAGCTCATTTGACCTGGAAACTGAAAGCTATAGTTCCCCTCACAGGTCTTTTTGCTTTGTTCTCATAGTTCTCTTTCATTCAATTATACATATATTTTCAAACTATTATCACACTATGTATTTTCCATTGGTGCAAAGTGAAAGAGTCGCTCAATTGTGTCTGACTCGTTGCAATCTTATGGACTGTAACATGCCAGGTTCCTCTGTCCATGGAATTCTTCAGGCAAGAATATTGAAATGGGTTGCCATTTCCTTCTCCAGGGGATCTTTCCAACCCAGGGATTGAACCTGGGTCACCCACATTGCAAGCAGATTCTACACCATCTGAGCCACCAAGGAAGCTAATTTTCCTTTGGTATACGAGTTTAAAATGGAGATTTCAACATGTCTGATCAACATCTAGGAAAGTCTCCTGATCAGTCAATATTTTTTCTTTGCCTTAAATATTTTTTATTAATGAGCTGCAGTAGTGAGATTAGTGACAATGATAATCATAAACATCTGATTTCAATAAGCATTTTGTGAGCACCAATCTTGAGCTAGGTAGCAAATTGGCTGTGTGGGGGACCTTCAAGAGAGCTTTAAAGGAGATGCCTACCCTTTTGGAGTCCCCAGACCTTCCCAGGAGATGGGACATGACCCAGTACTGGGAAACCTCGGTAAGCAGTGCAGACAGGTCAGCATTAGGGGACTCGGGGTCAACACTCATGACAATGAAGAATCCTGTGGTATCCCAGCCCTCAACTCAACTTTCTTCTTTTCTGAAAGTAACTAAAATGACTTTAAGTTTTCCGCAGAAACATAAAGACAGATGAATCTCCTAACAGCAAACTGACCATGTTTAGAAACAGCACAGCAGTCATAAACTGCCTTACAGTTTGTTTCTTTTCCAAATGAAGTTTGAGGTTGTTTGTACAAACATAGCCTTATCTCAAAAAGAAAATACATTGACCTCAAACTTGTACTGATCAGCTTACATTTCTGCACTGTGTTAATAAGCCTTGAAGAACACTCTGGTCAAGAGGTAGAAGTAAAGTGCCCCAAATGTGAAAGCGTGTAGAAATCACAGGCTTTTATTTAGCATCAGAAGAGATCACAGGAGGCAAAGGTAGAGGATACAGGAGGGGGTGAAGCTGTTTATAGTCAAATTTCATAGAAACCTACACAGCTGCTATTTGTCCTCAAGGCTCAGAGAAGATACTAGAACCACACAGGAAATGCTTTCAGTAGCATGAAAAACAGTTCAAAAATAAACATGAAAATGGAAATGGGCCATCTAAAAGACTATCATCTGCTATAGGAAAAAAAGGTCACATAATTTTGAACTAAAACCCTATGTCTTCAGCACTCAGAGTTGGGTCAAATACTCCCACATATTCTATCTCATTGTGCTGAATGGAAGGGTGATAGGAATGCAGGTGGTAGCTCTGCTCCGACCACTGTGACAACAATGTCACATTTCTGGGCCGTTTCCTGGTTGGTGAAAAGGTGGAATTGGACCAGATGTTTGGTTTTCTTGCTTTGCTCTGCAAGGTGTGTTAGATGCCTCAGGCTCTTCCAGGGAAGAGAAGGGGGATGGCAGGCTGCATCCAATTTTCCACTCCACCCAGACCCAGCTCCACTTTCATCTCACACATTAGGTTTCTCATAAGATTCTGCTCAAAGGACCATGGATTAAGGAAAACAAAAACTAAAAAATCCTCCGGACTAGATACTATGAAATCCCTTTCAGAAACAGAGTCCTATGGTTCCGTGCTGATATAATAGAGGTGTTTTCTTGAAGTATTTTAGAGTGGTTGGCTTTGGGGAAATTTTTTTTCTGGGGCCTATATATATATATGTGTATATATATGATTATGTTATTTAATCCTTACAAATCCCCAGGGATTTTGTTTTTAATTTAACAGATGAGGAAAATGGGTGTAGTAGGTAAGTAACTTGCCAGTTACACCAAAAAAGAACGAACCAGCAGGGGCTCATAATTCCTTACTGCTCTTCACAACATTGGTACTTTTCTTCCAGCATCTGTCTAGGAACAGTCAGGATCCAAAAAAAGTAAAAAGGAAAGTGAAAGTCACTCAGTCATGTCCGACTCTTTGAGATCCCATAGAATTCTCTAGGCCGGAGTACTGGAGTGGGTAGCTTTTCCCTTCTCTGAGGTATCTTCCCAACCCAGGGATTGAACCCAGGTCTCCCGCACTGCAGGCAGATTCTTTACCATTTGAGCCATAGGGAAGGCCCAAGAATATTGGAGAAGGTAGCCTATCCCTTCTCCAGCAGATCTTCCCGACCCAGGAATTGAACCAAATAAAAGAGCCCCAGGAAATTATAAGGTTAAAAATCCCTGTAGGCCCATTGCAGATGGAGTTTTCCAAGATCTCTGAATAAAAAGATTCTTTGACTTTACTGAGTGCTAAAATGCCTAAGACAGGATAAGTGGATTGGAGTAAGCAAAAATGGCAGGTTTTAGCTCCAACACCAATTTGTTTTTCTTTTCATTCTTTTTTATCTGAGAGCAATTTGAATTCCCTGGCACTTACTCTTGTGAGTAAACCAGATTCTTCATATAATATTAATGTAAACACTGCTGTATATATTTTTCAACTTTGCTTTAGACTAAATAAAGCCCATATGAATAGACACAGATTATGAGAGAATTGGCTAAAAAAGCAGTTTGGGTTCCAAAAAAAGAAATAGGTAGACTTTTAAAAGTATGATTAATATAATTTACTTGATGTTTCTTATTTCCAGTTTACATCTTATAAATACGTATGATGTGTCATGTTTTTGGACATATATGTGCCTTGCTGATGAACTGAGAAGAAATTATAGAAACTCATTAAGGCTTAAAAGGCAAAATCTTTTGTCCCCTAAGAGGGAGCAAGAGGGTCTGTCCATACAGGTTAGTCTGTATATCAGCTGTGAGCAGTCTGGTCCTAGCTGGGGTAAGGAGAAAAGGATATGCAAGGTGGCTTTTTTGCAGTTTGGAGTGAGAAAAAGCAGGAAGTAGATTCCTTCCTTGAGTATGTATATGGGGGTGGGGTGGATATCTTACTCTGCCTTGACACAACACTGTTGTGACTTAGGAACCCTCCTTCCTCCTCGCCTCTGAGTTGGGGTAGAATAGAAGCCTGAGGGGATGTTTACAGAGATGTGCAGTCCACCAGGGTCATGCCAGGAAGTGCCAGGAAAAATAACAATGTCCACCTCTGTTTGTCCTTATTCCCTGCTTCCTTTCCCACTACTTCATCTTGCCTGAAACCTCTCCAGAAGTTATTCTACCTAACTTTGAAATTCTAAACATCTGTGGTTGACAACAAAGATACATTTCAGAGCAAATGTGAGTCAGCACCATCTGCAACCAAGAGGCTCATTAGAGGTTGTATGTACATTGTCACCTGCACTGGAAAATTCAATAGACTGGAAACTTAGTAGCCTTCAGAACAGCCTTCAGGAAGGCGATTAAGAGGTGCAGACTTCCAGCTACAAAATGAAGGCGTTTCACATTTTATAAAATAATATACTCAATAATGATATAATATCTTCATGTGGTAACATATTATAACCAGATTATTGTGGTGATCATTTTGTAATGTATAGAAATATTGAGTCACTGCGTGCTGCACCAGGAACTAGCATGGTGTTATACTTCAACAAACAAACTTGGGAAAAAAGAGATCATATTTGTAGTCACCAGAGTGGGGGGAGAGTTAGAGTGGGTAAATGTAGTCAAAAGACAAAAACTTCCAGTTAAAGGATAAATAACTACTCGGGATGTGGCCGTCCCTGGTGGCTCAGTGGGAGCCTGCCAATGCAGGAGACGCAGGTTCAATCCCTAGATCAGGAAGACCCCCTGGAAGAGGAAATGGCAAACCTGCTCCAGGATTCTTGCCTGGGAAATCCTGAGGACAGAGGAGCCTGCTGAGCTACAGTCCATGGGGTCACAAAAAAGTCAGACACAACCCAGCGACTAAATAATAACAACCTATTAGGGAGGGAAAGTCTACATATTGACCAAATTTTTTTCTCTCTGGAACTCACCTAACCCCTTCATGGGTGCCATTTAGAGCATATCTAATTCCTTAAATCCATTTCAGTTATTTGAAGACAGCCCCCAAGTCTCCCCATAGCTTCAGTAGCCTCAGGTGTGTCCAACGCTCCTTCAGGTTTCCAGACTCCAAGAGCCTGACCACACTCTTTTAAAGCAAGCTCTAAACGTATCAGTGTACGTCCCGCAATG